TAATTTTTCCTTTCAAAAATGTAATAAAATGTTTGTATTATACTGATACCTCTTTTAGATATTGTCCTGGCTAGGCCACTGCTGCATAATAAACTAAAATTTGTAACATATGCATGGGAAACCTTTTCCTAGACAGTAAAGTTCGATAGTAACGAATTAACATAACAGTCACAATATTTTCCACAGTGATGAAAATATCTAGGTATATTATACAATTTAAGACTTGATACCAAAACATTATCAATATTTATATTTAATTTTAGGAGCCTAAAAGGGAAAGAATTGCTTAGAGACAGTAAATCTGATTTTTGCTTTGTACTTTAAGTGTTTGTCACATATCCGAAATATCTCATTAAAACCAGGAACTTTAAGAAAAATGGTTGAGAAAAAGCACTGAGAACTAACCTCAACATTCTGATTCCTCACAGATAATTTATGGAGACCAGGAGTAGAATTTTCGCATGTCTCATAATCATATGTAAAGATTTTATAAGACTTACAAACTTCAGACTTGAGAAACTTGCTGCCAGTTTACAATGATACATACGACACAGTAAAAAGACAACATCACCATGCAGTATGGTATACGGCTTACCTCTGGTGAAGCAGCAACCATATCTGGCAATTTTACGACAGTCCTCCTCCCTCTGCCGGCCATCTTTTTCAAATAAATTTCTTAATTGAGCGATATATCTCTGAAAGCAAACCAATGTTTACAATGCAAACAGCATCTAACTTAGAACTTAAAACGCAAAGAGGATGTACAGCCTTTGACACAACTTACTTTGTAAAAGCAGTATCTTTCAGATGCAATTTGTTTGTGAACTAAGATCTTCCTGGTCTTTATACACTTGTTTATGTCACAAGTTAGCTGTTGCTATGATACAAACAACAACATAATTAAACAGTTGAAGTACCTCACTGTTACACAAAGCAACAATGATTCTGAATAATAAATAAATGCATATCATATTGATCAGTCCTCATCATAAAAACAAACTGCATGACATGCTGGATCTTTGTAAAGTCTGGCAAAACTCCTGTTTTATAGATGCAAACATCAGTGTATTTGGTGTCTGAGTTCACTGGCCTTGGGAGTCTGGTATGCACTATCCAGAGAACGAACCAACCAAATTCGTTCGGGCAAGTTGCCTAATGGGATAACCTCCCATCAGCAGCACACCCTAGTTTGAACAGTCGCGGCCCCCGCCACAACGCAACCCCTTTGGCGTAAGGCTTCGTTTACCATTTCCAGCAATGCGTTTCGTACCCTGGAATGGTACCTAGCAAGGGACGATGCCTTGTGCAGGACTCCGCCCTTAGTTAGCTTTTTGGTTGGTTGGTTGTCTCTGCTATGGCTGGCAGAAAAAAATAACAAAGTGAGAGGGCCACATGACACAATACATTATTTAGTGTTCTGTCTGACGAAAGGTCCATATGAACAGGATCCTTCCATCCTTTTCTCGGACTGGGACCTGTTCATATACGTTCTTGGCAGATGATTCAGAAGTGGTTTGCCATTGCCTTCTTCTGTGTGTGAATGGAGTAATTGTTGGGATGCCACGGAGGAAAACTCCGTGTTGCCTAGACCACGGCCTTGCCCAACACAAGTTATAAATTCGGGCACCGCCGGGAATCGAACCCGAGACCCCAGGATTACAAGGCCAGCGTGCTAACCGCTAGACCACCGTGGCTGTACCATAATAAAAATATATCGTGCAAAAAGTGATGAAATTGTAAGGAGCCTGCTTATATAGTGTGCTATACGAGGGTTACTTCAAAAGTCATGGCAACTAATTTTTTGGGGGCAAACACGTTATATTGAAGACAGTTCAAAATATACATATGAAAGGGCAGGATATACTCCTCCGATTGGCGTAGTCAGATCAGGTAGGTGTGAATGGGTGTAGGTATAGTAGGCAAGAAAAAAGGCACATTACGAAATGACCGGTTTCTTCATTCTTTAATCCTCGAAAAATTCAATTGTGATTAAAAAATCAATGTGAGTTAAATCAGAATTCTTACATTAAGACTAGCTACCTTCAAAGTAGTCTCCGAGTGTATCAAGTACTCGGTGCCAACGACGAGGAAGACGGCGAATACCATCAGCTTCCATCAGGGCGTCCACTACTTTGCATGTCGGCACTTGCTTCTACCCACCTTGCAACAGTTCTGTATGGTACAGAACGATTACCCACAGCTTCCACAAGCTCTGAGTGACATTCAGTTGCATTTCTGCCGCGAAGCACTGCTATTTTTAAGTAAGAACGCTGTTCCGCCCAACTGTCGCACATCCTCGACGAAGGTTATAAACACACAGACTTTACGCTCTACTCGTTTCGTTGTCTTTTGACTTCCGGATCATCTAGCGACATCATTAGAAATCAGACGTTGCTGTGTCCCAGCGGCAAATTTGAAAATTCCGGTCGGATCTTGCGATATTTCGGGAAAATAATGTTGCCATGACTTTTGAAGTAACCTTCGTATATCCTGAGGTATGAGCCGGGATAGGTCAGTCAGTATAGTGACTAGCTACGGGCTGGGCGATTGGGGTTTGTTCCCCGACGGGGGCAGAGGATTTTTTTCCTCTAGCCTCTGCGTCCAGACCGACTCTGGGGCCCACCCAGCCTCCTGTACAATCGGTACCGGGGTCCTTTCTCGGGGGTAAAGCACGGCCGAGGCGTGATGCTGACCACTCACCCCCATCTGATGCCAAGGTCAAGAAAAAGAAGCTATATCTCCGCTCCCCCCCAATTGTGGTTCTCTTTGTCCCTTTTTATACTCCTGATTCTTATGCAAGGAACTTTAGAGACAAAGCAAATGCTGAAGCTCTAATTTCATCCAGCTTTTATTCTTATAATACTTGATGAAGAATTTTCATTTCCTGTCTGTTAACATGCAAGAATTTCTCTTCCAATCACAGTTACATTTCATATAAAATCACCTGACCAAGTAGAAAAAATGGTAACCAATGTAATGACTGCACATAGGTGAAAGGCTGCATCCTGGCACAGCAGGGAAACTTCTTTTTGTAATAGGAAGTGAGTTCACAGCATCATGGTCTGCCAAATGAATCCCTGTATGCATTAGGTAATGGGTAGGGTAAGTCGTATGGCTGGATGTGACGGTCATCAAGATCATAGGCAGTCATTTTATTGATAAATTAACATATTACAGAATAGAAAGATAACCGAGTAAGCATTATTTCACGATGCCCAATTAATCTTTCATTATGGGGTGAACTCAATTATTTTGAAGCCTTGTGTGTGATAATTACTTGCAGAAACCTTATTACAAATCATCTTATAATTATGAAAAATGTATCCATATTTGTTATAGAACCTATAAAATTAAAACAAAAACATCATATGATTTATATTTTATTCTTTCAAGTACAAGTCTTACAACAACATTCATTTGTAAATTTAACACCATTTAAATATGAACATGAATGTCTTCTGGGATGTTGCAGTATGAACCCTCTTAGAAACACACCCATGTTTCAGAGGTGCTTACTGCAACCATCATCAGGGGCAATGAGTAAGCTGCACATGGAAAAGCATTTGAAGATAAGAAAGACCAGGCCAGACAAATGGATCAAGGCAGAGGATAGACAGAGCAAGGGAGCCATTGAAGGACCTGGGCCACCCCATCCTTGCCAAAGGGGACAGAAAAGCACGAGCTTTCTACATTATTTCACGGAAGGGATGAAAGTCTTCCATAACCAGCTCAGGCCGAGGTTATCTTCCATGTTCATGAATCTCAGTGCCCTCCATGGTCATCTGATCCATGTATCGGGATTTGGTAGACAGGATGCCAGGACATCAGTATATGATCACAGAGGCCAATGAAAACAAGACACAACTAGACAACATGAACAAGAAGGATGTTCTCCACCTAAGCCAGTCTTAGAAGCATCTTATCCACTCCTTAAAGGAATGATAGAAACCTCTGCCATTGAAGTAGTGCTTGTCCCCCCTCCCCCATCTTAATCATCACCCTGATGATAGCATTGTGAAGCATGTAAGTCAACATCCCATAATCATTCAACATACTCTCTAATGTGAGGACCTGAAATGTACTTTTATGTTAAAAAAATCCCTCCTTTAGGATCCTGTGTTTGAGCCCTTCTGTTTAAGAGGGGCTGCATATACGTCAGGAGACCTCATCCCATTAGAAGAAATTCAACATTTTAGCCAATCCCTTCTGTCTGAGAGACCTTCGATCACTTTCATTTGATTTAAAATAGCCTGTTTGAGAAAAGGTTGAGGGTGATGCTGCTACACAGGTGCATGTCTTCCAGAAATACCAGACTCATATTTTCCTGATGGGGTACTGTCCTATGGCAAATGCTTTCGAGTTGTGATCATATGACTTTGGCTATCCAATCTGTAAGAAGCAATAAAAATTATTCATATGAAACTCTCTAAAGTAAGCAGTATTTACCAGAACTGTGCTATGATACAGTGAATGCTGAACATCTATTAAATATACTTTCTGTACTGCAGTAATATCGAGCTTAATATTCTGACTGACATCTGTCTGTTTATGAAAAAAGGTTCTGTGTATATTAAATCTTGTTGCAAATTTTAACTTTTAGATATGAATTTCAAGCAGATGACATTCCTTACATCACAAGCCTCTTTTGCTTAAAACGAGAAAACAGTTGTAGAACTTATTATTTCCACACCTATTTGTAAGTAATATCTACGGACTTTGCTTTAACATCCAAACTACACAGCCTGTCATATTTTGGTTTTAAAGATACCTTCTTGTATCCTGAACAGTATTAAGTATGATACTATTGACTGAGAAGTATTTTTGGATTATTTATGGAAAGATAAATATGCAAAATATACAAATAAGATTACTAGCATATTAAACACAACTGGTCAGCATATTGAACACAAAAACAGGAGGGAAAACTTAAGTAGTGTCAACATGACAACTTCATGGCTTGACTGATACATAATGGCACTCCTCCTCAATCTAGACATGATGTCACACACATTCCTCTCCATATATAACCTTTCTAAACATGTCTTTGAAAATCCTTTTGTCACAATGTCTGCCACCTGATTTTCACTCCTTACAAACAGACATTCTCTACTGGCAACTTTTCCCTAATAAAAAGATGATTTATATCAGTAAGTTTAAAAAGTTTGCTCTCTGTTGCTTCTGCCAAACCAGTATATCCTAAGTTGTCTTCAAAAAGTTTTATTTGTCCTTCAACATCTTTCAAAATTGCTCTTAGTTACAGAACTTCACACCTAACTACACTAACTGCCACATACTGGGCTTCAGTCAAAGATAACTGAAGGCTGTTTCTTACATGCCCATGACACACCAATGAAAACTTTGAATATGTAGTGTGAAGAAGACTGCTGTCTTCCATTAGTCTTGATCCAGCACTCTTTGATCATCAATTAAAGAGATGATTATAGAATTTAGTGATCTCCATCTATGCATAATTTACACTAGTACAGATTTAACCTATGTTTTATTTATTTAGTGTTCTGTCTGACGACAGGTCCATATGAACAGGATCCTTCCATCCTTTTCTCGGACTGGGACCTGTTCATATACGTTCTTGGCAGATGATCCAGAAGTAGTTTGCCATTGCCTTCTTCTGTGTGTGAATGGAGTAATTGTTGGGATGCCACGGAGGAAAACTCCGTGTTGCCTAGACCACGGCCTTGCCCAACACAAGTTATAAATTCGGTCACCGCGTAAAGTGCAGAAACAAACAAATGATGCAGGTCACAGTCCATAATAACAAAAGAATATTTTCAAAGACTCTGAAATGTTCACATAACCTATACTGTATGACAACAGGGGAATTAAAGTCCCAAATTATAAGGCTTCCAGCTAGTTGGC